CAATTGACTTTTGGTTTAAAAAGGAATTTAATTGAAGTGTTTTAGTACGGGTCAAACAAGGCAAGTCTGCTATGAAAATCGATATATCACAAGAAATTAAAATTAAATTGGAATCCTATTTAAAATTTAACAAATAAGAAGTTACTATATATTAATTTTTTTTCTTTTCTTGAAATAATTAAATTTAGCTGTGCTGGAAATTATTTCACACGTAAATAAATATTTTTCTTTTTATGTATTGTGATGTGAAAGAAATAATAATAATAATATTATATCACAAATTGGGAAATTAAACATTATAATTAGATCTAAATTACATTTTAGATATGTATTTTTATTACATGGTTTGATTTGACTTTTTGGACCAACCATAAAAAACGACTTGGACTTGAGTTTACGGGTCCAAGTTTTGGTCAACTTTGAACAAGAATAAAAGTTTCCAGGAAAAGAAAATGGAAGAGTCAAATAATATATACAAAAATAAATAAATATTAATATTAACAATTATTTTTGAAGAAATAATATTCACATTTCGAAGTGCATAGATGATACACTCATATTGTCATTTTCCTGGTTTTAAATATTCCCAGGAAATCTCAATGGCAAAAAACTACGGCCATGTTTGGCAAACAAACTTTTCTCTACAAGAAAAAAACTAGAATTACGATTCTGCCATGCATGGGGCGCCGATCATCTTCCAAACAGAGACATCGCCATTTGCATCACCCGTAAAAAATAGTCCGTCGATGCCTACTTCAATCACTTCAACTTTCCCCTTCGAAAATATTCTTCCCCTTTCCGTGAATCTAAAGTCGCAAAACATATAAAAACATAATTAGGAAATTTAACAGCAATTACGAGAGAAACTAATCAAGCTTTTCAAGGATAATTAATTTAATAATTTAAAAATATACTTACGAAGGCAATTCGTAGAGGCGGACTGTGTTATCACTATACGCGCAGAGGAGGATCGGTTTACCTTCTGCATCATGTATGCCACATAGAGCATTCACCTCCTGAAAAACAGCATAAACGATATTTACATCATTTGATTAAAAAAAATTGCAAAAAATTATCGAAATTTCTTAGAACAAGAGTTGATGTGATTTGACTTACATAATCGTCTTTAATCTCGTAATCCACCTTTATAGTCCCACTTTCGGTTGCACTCCAAACCTATTTAACACACACGCGTTCAAGAATTACTATCTAATCAACAGAAGAAAAAAAAGCATATGCCAGAAAATCAAATCGCAGTTTACTAACCTTAAGTGTCTTGTCGAGAGAAGCAGATATCAAATAACTGTCCCAACAAACGAGAGATGTCACGTCTTTTGTATGTCCAGACAGAGTATGCAGGCACTGCAAGTTATACGTGTCCCACACCTAGAAACAGAGTATGCATAAATTGATTAATTTTCAGACAGGTTCTTGAATATGTTGTCAAAGCTTGCGGTAGGTAAAATAGCATAACTAAAATTGCAAAAGATTGTATCGAAGAAATATACCTTTATGGTGGAATCTTTCGAGCCTGAATAGAGCCTGTTATTAGCCCCAACGACAAGAGTACACACTGCGCCATGGTGCTCCTTCAGCATTGCGATCAGTTCGGGAGTATTGCTCTCTGCATTTAACTTCCATACTAATATTGTACCATCCTGCATACACGACAAAGAGCTATATAAGACTCTACTCTGAAAAAATAAATGATCAAAATAAAGTGTGTACTTAGAAAAAAGATAGCAAAAATCACCTCCATTCCAGCAAACAACTTGTCATTGTCCAGAGCCAGGCTACATACTAAACCACCAGGTGCATTGACGAAAAACTCGGCTTGATTTTGAATGTTCCATGCCTACATTACCGACAATAATACGATGGATCAAAACACTAACAAGATTTATACGGTATACATATTTCATTACAGCTATGCGATAAAAGAAAAATTATATATATATATTTATACCTTGACAACGTTCGGCAGTCCAACAAACAACCATGCACCTTCGTTGATTAAACACCCGACTTCACCAACAGTAGATACAGAACCAGCAAGCTGAATAATCAAGAATGGATGAACATGTAAGCCTCAAATCATTCTTTAAAAAAATATACAGTTTAATTACACCGACATGAATAACAATTCCAACCTGGCCACTGTTGCAGTCCCAAGCTCGAATAGATTTGTCCTTGCTGCACGAATATAGCTTATCGCAGCCAGATGGAAGGGCAATTCCGGTAATACCCTGTAAAAAGTCGTATAAAATATTTATGCATTGGTAAAAACCCAATAAGAAACAACCTAAATTAGCATATTTTAACTGATGAAGTACCTTTGCGTGCCCTTCTAATTTCGCCAACATTGCGAATCCCGAGCCGGAAAACCAAGAGTGCACATACCGGCACTTGTCTCCACGGACACAATTGCCCCTAACCCAGTCTCCGCACTGCTTAATCGGAGCTTTTCGAGTGTCGTTTTTCTCGAGTTCGGATCTTACAAAAGTCAAACTCTTTGTGCTGACTTTTCGTGGGGGTTTCTGATAACTGGCATTGCTGAACTTGCCCCCTTTATTGCTTAAACTTGAACCGTTCCCGTATTTCGGATTGCAAGAAGAATTCGTATTCGTCCATGTTTTGCTTCTGGCTTGGTTGTAATGAACGTAACCGGTTTGTGGAGGTGGTCGTTCTCCGTGAAAGTAGTCACAATTGTCTCCCTTGATGCAATTCCCATTGGCCCAATATCTGCAGACTACACTCTTCTTCGCGGGCTGCGCTCCCATTCTATGAAAAACCGAGACTTTCTTTGCGGCCATGACCTCCATTGTAGATTACTAAACGAAATCATAATAATTATACATTAATCAGAAACTCAACCAACACCAACTTGATTCATTCTAAATCCACCACGTAAAAAACTGAAGAAACTCAATTCCGGGGCGGGCCGGGCCGATCGATCTTCATCGCAGCCAAGACCATAACTTGCCATAACAACAATCGAAGGTTTCCCAGTAATTTCCATACGGCACTAATTTCCCCAATTCGATCGAATATTTAAGGAATAATAAAAAAAAATTAAAAGCAATATAAAAAAAACCCTAGCTAATCCGAATAAGCACAGCCTTGAACAGAAAATCAAATCTATATCCCGGAACACTGAAGAGCGGAATCCGATCCGATGATCGCCGGTTGTTGAAAACCCATCCACAGCGAAGAATCGGTCGATCGATTTGAAAAACGTCCACCAATCTAGAAACCCTAATTGTTTACAGAGAATCGAAAAGTAGTAGCAAACCTGATTGATAGGGTTAGAAACTCCAAAAGAAAACTCTCTCTCTCTCTCTTCGGAACAACAATAATTATTCTTGCTTGAGAATCAAGCAATTGGAATTTGGAACAAGAAATTTGTGAATTCACGTTGGGCAAATCGAAGTATATATAGATTGGGGAAACCGCGTCGGTGTGGATTTCTATTGGGCACCGGATTCTTATTTACAATTATACCCCTCAAGTTTGTGTTTTTCTTGGATAACCCCTATGTGGTTTGAATTTTGTGTACATAACACCCCTTATACTTTCAATATAGCACATGACTCCCTTGTATTTTAATAATAAGCACATAACCCCTTGAACTTTCATAAATTTCTTTTTCCTAAGGGTTAAATATAAATTGCGCCCCTGTACTATCACCAATGTCGCAAGTGCCCCCTGCCGTTAAACCATGTTAACGAATCCATCATTTTTTCAAAGTTGACCGACTATTGTAATAGATGTTGAACAATTTCGAACGAAAACACCCCTGTGATTGTGTGTAAAAGATGTGCCTGTTTCTTTTTCTTTTGTACTCAATTTACTTCAAAAAAAATTCATTTTTCTTCCCTAATTTTTATTTTCCTCAGCCTAGAAATTTCACCCAAATTTTCTAAAAAAAATTATATTCTGAAAATTATTTTTAATTTCCTTTTAAATTTATGAAATTTTGCAATTTTATTCCCAGTCTAAAAATACCACCCAAACTGTATGAATTTCTTTTATTGTGGATAGTATTTTTATTTTATTTTTTCAAAATTCTTGAAAATTTATAATTTCGTTTTCACCCAAAAATTCTCGATTTAAAATTTTATAGTTCTAATTCTCAAAACTCATGCATTTAATTTTTTACGTCCAATACTATGACATATTTTTTCTAAAACCACTTGTCTATGCAACCGGAGTGCTACGTAATAAAGTAAAAAAAAATAGTAGAGTAATAAAAAAATAAAAAAAGCAAACTAATATCATATAAATGTGAGGGTAAAAATGTAGTTACGCTACATAAACTAATGGTGTTAGAGATTTGATGGTTGACATTTAAGTTGAGGGCTACTTTGTCGCCTTTTATAGTACAAGGAAGTATATGTGATAATGGTGATAGTATATGGGTGCAATTTGTATCTAACCATCTTCCTAATGAACATGATTATTTACCCAAGGGGGTCATGTGATTATATTAAAAGTACAAGGGGTCATCTTACAAAATTCAAACTGTAGGGAGTCATATACTCATACTGAAAGTACAAGGGTGCCATATGCACAAAACTCAAACCATAGGGCGTTAAGTGCTATTTACGATAAAATTTAAAGTATTTTTTATTTGTATTTTAGTTAAAATATATTTGCATAATTTAGGTTCGAAAGTGAAGCTAAAAAAAGCTTCGTTTATTTCTCAGTCTGACAACAATGGCGACGGATTTAGAAGCAGCCAAGCTCGAGCTTTTCCTTCAGTGGCTGAAGGTAAATCAGAAACTTCTCCCTCAGATTTTGTTTTTGTTGCTAAATTTATTGTTTTTACAAGTATTTCAAAAGATATCGAAACTGCATTTCTTAATTCAGGTGAACGGAGCTGAATTATGCGGCTGCAAAATCAAATACTGCAATTCGAGTAAAGGATTTGGCATTTTTTCATCTGATGATGTTCCCGATGGTAAATTAATTACCCTATTTTGATTTCCTTTCAGTTTTAGGGCTTTTGTGATTGTTTTGCTAAGAAATTTAGGGATCTTAACTATTTTTTGTAATTTTTTTTTCCTTGCTGGAAATAAAATCAGGAATTTTTTTGGTGGTCCCACTTGATCTGGCAATAACCCCTATGAGGGTTTTAGAAGATCCTTTCATAGGACCTGAATGTAGGTCAATGTTTGAGGAAGGACAAGTCGACGACCGATTCTTGATGATGTTGTTTCTTACAGTCGAACGTCTACGAAAGAACTCCACATGGAAGCCGTACGTATAGAACTTTACGATTCACTCTACTTTTTTTTGTTGTAGTTCAAATGAAAAATAGTCGTTATCTGATCTTAATCTTAGGTACCTTGATATGCTTCCTAATGAATTTGGAAATCCACTTTGGTTTACGGACGACGAGCTTTTAGAACTAAAGGGAACCACATTGCATCGAGCCGCTGAACTGCAGGTGAAGTGTTCATCGTTCATCGTTCGATGTTTGATATTCTAAGTTTGAGTCTTGCTTTTGTATATTTACGATTTAGCAATATTGTGACTGAAGGCAGGTTTGTGTTAACAGAAGAAAAACTTGAAATCTTTATTTGACGACAAAGTGAAGAAATTGGCGGAGAGGCTTTTGATTCTTGACGGCAATCCCGAGAGGTGTGTTCTTGACTGTGAAGCTTCACTTTACCTTTTCTCAAAATTAAATATCTGAATCGTATTTTTTTTTCTTGTTGGTTTTGGCAGTGAAGTGAGATTTGAAGACTTCCTTTGGTAATGATTCGGACCACTTACCCGTATCATACGTCACATATAAACTCACGAGGGTATTTACATTGACCATTTTTTTAACAGGGCAAATTCTATATTTTGGACTCGTGCATTAAATATCCCTTTTCCGCGTTCCTATGTTTTTCCACAAATTCAATTAGAGAAAGACATCACAATTAGCGATGCACCCGTTGAATCTACAAGTCATGTTTCTACTGAAAATTTGGTCAACGGAGAAAATGGAAAAAGTAAGGATCTGCTTTTTGTTTTTCATACAACTATATATTTTCATACAAGGATCTGCTTCTGTTCTTAACGATGCGGACTACGTTGATTAATCAGTTCTTCAGACAAATAATTCTGCATCACAAGAAGGAGAGACAATATGGGTCGAGGGTTTGGTGCCAGGCATTGATTTTTGCAATCACGGTAATCCGATTAACATCAATAATTGTTTATTATATGCAATTAGCTACTTTGTAATTATATACCCATCGGTTCAGCTTTATTAATTTTTTTTTGTTCAAACTATATTGTCTAGGTTTAAACCCTGCAGCAACTTGGGAAGTAGATGAAACTGGATCATTAAGTGGGACCCCTTTTTCCATGTACCTTTCTTCTGGTAGGTTTTTTTTATTTTTCCCATTTTTCTGTTCGTCTTTTTCTCTTAAAAGCCAATATATTAAACAAGATTTTATTTTTTTGCATCAGCTGGGAATATTCTCCAAGGTGAGAAAGAGATATCCATCAGCTATGGTGACAAGGGCAACGAGGTTTGTCGAATTCCGTACAACGTTCTTGGACATTATTTTCTTAAACTTAGAGTCGCGTTGGTTTTTTTATTTGCCCTATGAAATAATGATAACTGGACAAAGAACTTCTTCATTAGCTTTCTCATTGCTCGATAATCAGTTGAAATTTCGACGCAGGAACTTTTATACCTTTACGGATTTGTCATGGAGGAAAATCCACACGACTATCTTATGGTAAATAACCCGACACTTGTGTGTGTGTGTGTGTGTGTGTAAATAAATGCTTTATCTTTAATATGAATTATTTATCATCTAGTAATGGTACAGGTTCATTATCCAATGGAAGCTATTTCGGATGTACCCTTTTCAGAAACAAAAGTGCAGCTTCTAGAAGCACAGGTCATTATTTATTAATATTTGGTAGTAATAACCCTAAGAAACAAGCTCGACTATGTACATATGCATGCATGCATCCCAGTTTATTTATTTATTAATATTTGGTTTGATTTGTTATTTTTACAGAAAGGCGAGTTGAGGTGTCTGTTGACTAGAAATTTATTAGAGAAGGGCTTTTTCTCCGAACGTAACTTTCCGGAAGGAACTAGTAACAAGGGGTTTAATTACAGTTGGAGCGGAAACCGAAAGATTCCCTCGTACATTAATAAACTTGTTTTTCCCGAAGAGTTCTTATCTACCTTGAGAACAATAACCATGAAGGAAAACGAGCTTTACCAAGTTTCTTCTTTACTCGAAGAGGTGTTGCAATTTTTCAGCCAATGTTTCCTTATTTTTCGTCATTTAAGCAATATATGTACATGGAATATAAAAAATAAATCATCTTACCTTGGCCGTATTTTATATTTTTATATTTTTTTGTTGAAGCTTGTTGGGTCTGGAGGAAAGACGCAACCATCGGAAACTGACGTAAGAACAGCTATATGGGAGGCTTGTGGAGATTCTAACGCTTTGCAACTTCTTGTTGATCTTCTTAATATGAAGTAATTTTTTCCTCAACAATTTAACGCTTAACATGCAGGGATAATTTTTTATTGATTACGATAAATGTTTACGTTTTTCCATTTGTCTCTAAATTTATTTTATTCATAAATACAGGATGATGGAACTTGAAGAGGGGTCCGGAACAGAAGAGAGCGATGCTAAGTTACTCGAGATTGCGCAAAACGAGAAAAGGTACATTTGTTTTTCTTAAATAAAAATAAAATAAAACTAGAAACTCTTAATTATGCTATATCTTCTTTCCCTTTTTCTCTTGTAGACAAGACATTAATTATGGAGAAAACGAAATTCTCGATGGTAAAATTGGTTTGACGACGAGTAGAAACAGATGGGCTAGCATAGTATATCGAAAAGGGCAGAAGGAATTGACTCGTCGTTTCGTAAAGGAGGCAGAGCATGCATTGCATCTGGCATTGAGTGAGTCTAACTAGAGTTAGTTTATGAAATCTTGGATATGGTTTTGTTTCTTCTGCACCTTTTAACTAGAGTTAAAACATAAATTAATATTTGCATGCAAATCAATCAAACTTTGCAATAAAATCAAAACCACCATCTTCATATGCATGCAAATCACTATGCAAGATCATATAATATTGGTTCAAAACCCAAAAACCAACCACTTTAGCTAAAATCACACACTCAAAATCAAGTGTATCTTTATTTGTTTATTTATACTAATTGACAATTGTGTATATATCCAGTTACCCTCATTACTATTTCACAGTTCCATGGTAGTTAGTTGCCTTAATACGAATTTCAGTCAGCCGCCCGTCGTTCGGGTGCTCCGCCTCTGCGCCACATTGCCCTACCCACCTGCCATAATTATATATATGATCAAAAACAATAATATAAACTACGTAAGTAATTCAATGTAAAACGTACATTATAAAGAGCGACACATCGAATTCTGGCACCATGGTAGCAGACATAAGGAAAATCGGTGAAGAAGCCGACGGCATGCGTCACGGAGTCGTACTCCCTCTGATGTACAATTCTCCAAGCCATCAATTGGCTATAAACAGTCACGTACAGCACAAACCATGCATAGGCCATACTCGCCTGCAAAAATACGTACACACCGCAGAATTACACGCGAATTCTTTAACTGTATACATCGAGTTGTAAACGAATTAATATGTATGTATATGCGTTTACCTTCAACGGAAAGATAGGTGTGTGGTCGAAAACAGTTGAAGCAGTACTTTCCAAGTTTGCGAATATGAACAAGATATCATAAAACTTGTAGAAGAAAGAGAAGCTTGTTGTAAAGAACAGTGCAGTCCAGAAGAAGTCAAAACAGGTTGACACTTCCCAAAGTGCAGCACACAGAAATCTTGGCGGAGAGAAAACGAAAAATCGTAATTAATAATCTGAATTAAAACGAATTGGTTATTAAATTGAGAATTGGAAATTGTTTAATTAATTACCTTGAATTACTACTGCCCAGGAGCTTGGTAACCACAGCGCCATTACTAACCATGGCTAACATTAGGAAAACGAAACTGAGTAAGCTGTAAGCCTGTATCATCCGTTCATCACAAAAAACGCAAATTAGATCATTAATCAATCAAATTTTCCCCAAATTAAACACTTCGATTCGAATAAAATGTAAACCCGATCGGAAAAAAATTAAAAAAAGAACTAATGCTTCACCACACGTAGTACATCAACACAAAGAATTTCACAGTAGTAATTACTTTGGACTTCATAAACACTCAGATTCGAATAAAACTTAAAGCCGATCGAAAAATTGAAAAAAGAAGAACTAAGGCTTCACCTCACGTAGTAACATCAGTACACAGAATTTCAGAGTATTAATTAATTTGTAGTTCATAAACACTCAGATTTGAATTAAACGTAAAACCGACTGTAAAATTACACACACACACACTGACACACACACGCACACACACAAAAAAAAAAGGAATTGCTAGCTTCACCTCCTCAAAACACTCAGATTCGGTAAAACCTAGTGTCGATTGAAAGCCAGAAACAGAAAATTGGAAAAAACGAAGATGGACGAAACGCGAAATTCCAACATCATAGAAAAGTGAATAACGAAACATGGAATTCAAACATGAAAAAAAGGATAGAAATCTGTATATTTTTCTGGCAATAACAAAGTCGATCAAACCAATCAATATCCCTAAAAGAGTACTCAGATTCGGATAAAACGTAAAGACATTTGAAAAATTGGGGGAAAAAAAACGTAGAATCAAACAGTCAACTAGCTTCATTACGCAGTACATTGTAATTCTTCGTTTCCAGCTCAAATAAAATACCGCGCAGAATAAAAAAGTTCGTGAATTTTTTTTTTTAAAAAGGAAGATAAAAATCAATACCGTGCGCATGATAGGAACAGCAGCAGGTGGTATTTCGTTGAGATTCCCTCTGAAAGTAAGCTCTCGCCATTGTGGTTGTGGAGCTCTGAGTTTGAACTTCTCTTTTGCCAGTGAAAATTGAAAAAAATGTGATACGGAATTGGTTTTGCAGTTAATTACCCCTATGGGCGGAATATAGCTTTTATTTACGATCATATCCATGTGGTTCTTGTCATCTTGTGGAGTTTAATAGGGGTAATATTGTAATATGTGGAAATTGAAAAATGTGCGTGTTGTTGCAGTGACTAGGCCGTTGTACTTGAAGAAACTGCATCGCCAATTTACCTTATTACCCCCTAACGAAAAAGTATCCAACAATTGAACTCACACACTAGTTCACAAATTTTTAGTTAGATTAGTTCAAGAAGCCAATTTTTAATATTTAAAATAAATTTTTAGATAAATAAATTGGCCAATGCATGATATGATTCATTTAATTTCACAATATTAATGCAATTAACTAATTTATAAAAGAAGTAGCATTTGATTTTGGAACATTTTTTTTTTAATTTCAATTTTAGAACATTTGGTTTTTTTTTTCAAAAGAATTATTTTACTTCCAAAAAATGTTTAGAATAATTAAGGAGTACTACTTTGGATCTTACTCGTCCGATTTCTGCTCTCTAGATTAGGGGTATTTGAAGAAATGGGAAAAAAAGCATTTGGGCGGGAAAGAGGTAGTTGAAACTCAACTGCCACGTGGAATTGAGGTATAAAATAAAGATTTAAAGATCAAACTTTGCAATTAAAAAAAAAAAAACCATCATCTTCTTATGCATGCTAATCAATATAGAAGATCATATATTTAGTTCAAAAGTCAAAACCAACCACTTGGAATACTTTCACTGCAAAAAACTGTATATATTGTGTAGCTAAAAACACTAATTCACACACACTTTATATCTTCATCAATTCATCATCCTGCATTTATTTATGTATACTAATTGTCTATATTATATCCCTTTATGAAGTGACTCCAAGACAGAATTTCAGAAAGCCAAGCCGCCGTTTCTGCCGCCACAAACTTGTTACAGTTGTTCCGGTACTCCGCCTCTGCGCCGCCTTATCCCCTCCTCCACCTGTCATAATTCAAAAGAAATCAAAGAATGAAATAAATTAAACTACATAATTAATTAGTGTAAATTTTTTTTTTTGGTGTAATTTAATTACCCCCATTGTGGCAAAATGGTAACAGACAAAAGGAAAATCAGTGAAGAGGTAGATTGCGTGTATCGCAAGTCTGTTCTCGCCGTTGTGTACGATTCTTTGCGCCATCACCTGGCTGTAAGCGGTTACATACCTCACAAACAATGAACTTGCCAAATACATCTGCAAATAATAATTACACGTAACGATTTCTGTAACCATATGTATATGTGTATATATATATAATTTTAAATAAATGTGTATAATATATATTATGCTTACCATCAATGGAATGAAAGGAGAGTCATGAGAAATGATTGAGGCGCTCGATTCGAGGATCCCGATAATAAACAGAGTATCGGAGAGACCGTAGAAGAAAAAGAAGCTTTTCGCCCAGCCAATTGTAGCCCAGAACCAGAAAAAAATCATGGTCACATTCCAAAGTGCAACATACAGAGATCTGTGCCGGTCGATCGAAAAGTTAAACACGAAATGAAGATCGGAAAATCGTAAAATTAAAACTATGAATTTAATAAATTAGTTTAATTTAGAAATTGTTTACCGTGGATTAATTCCGAGGAGCATTGTAACCCCGGTAACATTACTGGCTATTGGTAAGGTTAAGAAAACCGTACCGAGTAACGCGTAAACCTGTATCGTCCATCCATCACCGAAAATACAGAGTCGATTAATCGATAAACGTATACCAGATTGAAAATTTGAAGAAAAAAAACACACAAAAAAAACACAGTGTTTGTATTTCAAAAAACACTTGGATTCGGATTAAACTGGGGAGCTGATCGAAAAACTGAAAAATAAATTTGAAAAAAAAAACACACACAAAGAAAAATCCACACTCAAACACAGTATTAATTTCTTCGTTTGTATTTCAAAGAAAAGCAAAAACAAAGTCGATCAACCAATCAATATCCCCAAAAATAGTCAGATTCCGATAAAACGTAAAGCCAATTGAAAAATTGGGGGAAAAAATGTAGCATCAAACGGTCAATTAGCTTCATCACGTAGTACATCTACACTAAAAAAAATCAGCATTTCTTCGATTGTACTTGAATAAATCCGAATAAATAAGTCGTTAATCGAGAAGAAGAAGAAGAAGAAGAAGAAGAAGAAGAAGAAGAAGAAGAAGATAAAAAATCAATACCTCACTCATGATAGGAACAGCGGCAGGTGGAAGTTCGTTGGAATTCATGAATTGATCGTTCCATTCCCTCTGAAAATAAGCTCTCACTGCACCACGTATCACTGTAGAGAGCGCCATTGTTGTTGTGGAGCTCTGAGTTTGATTTGTTTTTTTATTTTTGTTGCCAGTGAAAAATGTGATACGGAGCAGAGCGTTCGTTATAGTAGAGTATATATATATACAGAGTTTGTTTCCAGTTAGTTACCCCTGGGTGGAATCTTGCTTTTATTTACGGTCATACCCATGAGGTTTC